GTTGCCAATACTAGATGGGGTTACCAAGGACTAGATGGGGTTACCAAGGACTACCTGCAACCCAGTTGCCAATACTAGATGGGGTTAGCAAGGACTACCTGCAACACGGGTCTGGCTCCCCGGGGTACCTCGTGGGGTTGAAAGTCCAGGTTGACTGATGTTGCCGTGATCTTGGACATATAAGAGTCGTACAAAACCCAATTGTCTCTGTATTTCTTACCGTGAAAACCAAGCCAAGTTTGATTCTCAGGGAAGCACTTATGCTTGATTCTTTGTCGACCCCAGGTAGGGTGTCTACGAAAGACCCATGCACGAAGTTGCTGAAATATCTGGAAATATCTGGAAATCAGCCTTTAGCCTGACGGCCAAACCCGGACAGACTCCTGGCGGCATCCGGTTTTGAAGACGGTGTTTGTTGATTTCAGTTGCTGAAGTCGTCAATGATTTTTCCGCACCTTTTGCTGACTGCATTTCTTTCCCTGGATCGAGTCAATGTGATTGCTTTTGTGTTTGTCTAACTCCGGTTTTATTGCTGATCGAAAACAGCATTTGTCCATTTTTGAAAACTACTTGTGAAAAAAAATAAAAATAAAAATAAAAATAAAAATAAAAATAAAAATAAAAATAAAAATAAAATAATTCTTCGAGTTTCTCTTGCGAAATGCTTGTTGCACTTACATACATATCCGTTTCTCAACTCCTCCCCCCTCTTCCCCTCTTACTTACATCTTTCCCTCCCTCTCTCTCTCTCTCTCGCCCTTCTCCCCCCTCCCTTGCCTCCTTTCGTGTACCTTAAAAAGGGTTTGTCCCCAACATTATGGTATCCCATTGGATTTGGATAAGCTGCGAGTTGGCATTCTTAGGTGCAAAAGTTGCGCTTACCACCCTTCCTAATAGGAAACCCAGTTGGTTAAAAAAACAAAAAATCTTTCGCAGACCATTGAGCCACCAGCTCTGCATGTTCTGTAATACTATTGTCTTCTTTTCACATTCTGTGGTGCACCTGAATCGCATTCATTTACATTTGCCGATTACGTCTGTGTATATTCGCTGAGTATTGCTTTTGGATTTGCAGGTCGTGTATAAAAAAGGGGTACATTACGAATGACAATTTTGTGCAGTATTTTGTCCGCCGGCCCACCAAGCGTTCACCTATCATCAATAGGGGTGAGTGAGTGGGTGATTCTATTAATACGAATGTCATACTCTGTATTCATTTTCGGTATACGAATGATCTCTGCAAAGCCCATAATTTATAGAGCGACCTTGCACAAGATATATTGTCAATATCTTGTGCCGTTGCAGGTAATGCCTTGTTGTCCAGTCAATGAGAGTTCAACGAGAGTTCAATGTACTTGTGATTCAAGTTTCTTCTTCACGGTCTCCCTGCAGTGACACCATGCGAATTAAATTTTGGCCTTCAGAAACCGCCGGTTCCATGACCTACCCCTGTGTTTCCTGTGGTTAAGCCACTACCACTGCCATGTTTTGGATGTGGTACTGTTTGGGAAGGCCATATTTCCACGGCTTTGGCCACGGATGGCCATTCGGCAGTGGTGGTTTAAACCACCATCCTTTCTGTGCAACCAAGGGAATCCCCATTTGGTAAGTAGTAGGCTGCAACTAGGCTTGGAAAACAGGCCCGGTAGAGGTTCAGCCGTCCCGGGGTGCAAATTGAGAACAGCCCCCAGGCCAGGTTCAGTTGGGGTGCCATCCCAGGTTCGGGGTTGGGAAACAGAAATGGGCGGTGGTTTAAAATTTGAAGTTTAAACCATCAGTCCCTCCAAGCCACTTTTTTTCCGATGCCCCTGTTCTGCCTGGCCGTGAAAAGAAAAAAGAGCTGTCACAGGTCGCAATCTTGGCAGGTGTCCCCATCCATTTCCCTCAAGTTACCCCAAACAGCGATTTTGTGGCACGTTTATTGGTGCAGAGGTCGCAATCTTGGCAGGTGTCCCCAGCCTTTTCCCTCTAGATACCACGAACAGCGATTTTGTGGCTTAAAGTTTATTGGAGGAGTGGAACAAGGTACCGGGGAAACAGACTTGCGCTTAAAGTTTCAGAGTCCGGTACCATCGCCCTGATGCCTCCATTCCTCTAGCTTTTGGTCTGCAGGGGTAGCGCGTGTTGCTCATTAGAATGGGGTACACTGCGGTGCACAGTTTTATTGCAGGGTTTGCAGCATGTTTTCGGTTAATTATGGGCCTGACGGGGTAGCCCCCATGTTAAGCCTTTTCCATTTTGTTCACTTGTGATGGTGTGCAACACAAACATTCGGGACTGTGATGTTTTACTCTTTTTGTCCAGAAAATTTGAAGTTTCGTTTAAGCATTGTGATCTGACAACAGGAGAAGAGTATAGTGAAACCCAGTTTCTCTAACGTTCCCATGCTTTTCTGATGCACTTCTTCCCGCCACGTCGCTGCAGTTCTACCAGGTTCATAGTGAGGGCAGTGGTTGGTGCCCACCTCAAGGTATCAGTTGTCGGGCAGTCGTTGATGTGTAACCACAACTGGGGTTAAGGTGGATTAGCACTTACAGTGTAATCAGTTAGGGGATTCTGCAGACTGTTGAGGGTTCAGCCTCCCGATGAGTCGGTGAAACTCCGACGAAACAGTTTGTCACAGCCCTTCGTTTGTTGTCCTCTTCTACCTCTCTGCCTATGGTTTACCGGGCAGCTCTGTTTGACGATATATGTATCGTCAAAAGAATATAAATAGATATATACCATGCACAGCCATGGTGGCATGATTCCATGGTTCATAGTCAGCAATGTAGTACAGTGTTGCACAAGAGTTGGTGTGGCATGTGCCTGTTCTGCATCATGCAACAAAGCATTGGATGTTCAAGTTGGAGATCCATCATTCCGAGCCAGGCTTCGGATGATTTGCTAGGTAAGGGGCATGAGGATCAGAAGTGAGTGCAGAAATGAGGGTGTTCCCAGATAGCGAATAGAGTGGTCGGAGGCCTGTAACAGTCTGTAAAACCTGTGCTCAGCTTATCCCCTTGTCGTTCTGTGCTGGGGTGCTGGTGATTTTCATTCCTCGTCCCCCTTTCCCTGTCTCCTCCTTGGTCCCGTTTGCACACCCAGGCCATCTAATCCACCCTTCGCACCACTGTTATTGCAGCCATTCTGTCTCTTCTGTACATTGCAACGGTCTTCTGTACATCACACCGGTTAACAGACCCCTTTTGTTGTACACTGCACCATTGATCATCTGTGGATTCAAAGCCTGTTTCTTTATGCTCATCTGACGATCCACAGCCTGTTTCATTTTTTGCCCCAGTTCTTTCTGTACGTGCTTGGCATATTGGTACTGTGCCGATGCTCGACATAGGGGCTTCTGTTCCTCTGTGCTCTGCAGTGAGTCCACCCTGTGGTGCACATGATAGATTTTGTGAAAAACTTTCTGATCTGCGTTTACATTCCCTATCGGTGTGAAACACTATAAAGTATGTTTCTGTACGTTGCGTAGTTGGGAGTTCATTATGCATTCTCTGCATCACTGGAAGTACACGAGTCACTCATCATAGAATACACTGCCCGGGACACTCTGGGGTTAGGACCACCTGGGTGTCTCGCAAGTGGTCACAAAATAATATGACCCCTGTGGCTCCAGGCTTGGAACGTCACATGGATGACCTGCTAATCCTTCCAGAAAAGGAACTGGACTGGTACCCCTCGCCATCCTCTTTTTTTCATTAAGTGGTCAAGTGGCTGGTCAAGTGGGCGAAGCTGCAGGAGACCAGTTGATGCATCCAATGCAGATAACATTTCTGCCGGCCGGTCCGAGCACGCTTCATTAGGCCTGTTCTTACCGAGCCGGTCCAAGCATCTTTACATATACGGATCTCACAGGAGGGACTGCTTGTGCCATCTCCACCACATTTCCCTGCAGCAGCTAGAACTTCTCTTGCATGATGGGCTGGTCCCCCTCTATGATTTTGTTGTACCTGCCCAATGTGCAGACGTGCCTGGTCTCTGCAGATCACATCTGCCAATTCTCGTCTTCCAATACTCTATCACGGGTGTTCCGGTGTCACTGAGTTTATCAAAATAAGATTTCGCTGATGCAGAGTAAGGGATGATTCTACTTCGGTGTGCTTATTATTACTTTGAGCCTCTCATTGTCATACCTGCACAACGAGTTAAGGACAGAGTGCCTTTCTCTTGGCTAGCTTGTTGAATCACCACTGTATGTGCACTAGAAACGGGGGGATACAGGGGTCAGCTGGGTAGATCAGGGGGAGCAGCCCATTGGAGGTATGCTGTGGCTGCGAAAGAGGAGTGCGGCCGCTGATTTCCTTCACCAGATCATAACTGGGGCAATGCACTGTCGTGGACTATTGCCGTCCCCCAAATAGAACGTAAGGTCATTATCGCTGTATCTAACTGAGAGCTCGCCCAAATGCAGGCATGATTACCGTACGTTCTCTGCATGTGAAGACGGCTCTGCTGTTGGGCTATGGCCTCCCCCTGCTAGAGGTCTGGCAACTGCAGGGTCAGGCAAACAAAAGGCTCAAGGAAATAGGTCAGTGACTCTGTGGACGTCGATAGCTTAAATCGTCACATCTTGCTATGGTTTCAAAGAGAGACAGTTAATCCGCCCGGGGGATGATTCTTCAAGAAGGCATCCTAGAGCGCGTGCTTCTCTGGACTATCCTGCATGGATATCCTCCATAGAGACCAGGGCAATCTATCGCAATTACCCATGCAGATGACATCATGGCCGTTATGTTTTGACTTTTGATATGTCCTCCACACTATGGCATTCAGCCTTAACTGGGTTCTTCCCTGACACTCGTGCCATCTTAAGCTCGTGTCCATCCGCCAACCCCTCCGGTGTGTCTATTCATGACCAGATTTCGCTTAACGGGATGGCAGCTAGCTCTGGTTAACCAGCTTTCTATTGCTTATATCAAGGTTTGAAGTGAGTGATGCCTACGCCTTTGTTCACTACCAGCATGTCGTAGTTTTCGCCTCGTTCCCTCGTGCTTTGTATGTCGCCATGTCTATCAAGGAACTTCTATCGCATGGCCTCAGCATGAGTAATTGTGCCCGTAGTTGGATGATTTGCGACTTTTTAAAATTTCCACGGTTTGTTCTCTGGCCACATCCTGGTTGCCTAGTTCTTATATATACATTGTATAGTTCATTAAACCCCTCTCTTCCTGGGATGTTTTGCCTCAAATGGTTGGTCTTTCCCTCTATTTTTGAGTGGCGTGTTGCTTTCGCACTGGTGCTTGATTTGTCTTCGTCTTGATAGATACAGATGCTGATGCGTCGTTAGGGAGATCGGTTGTGCACCTGTTGGTAATCTGCACAGACACGAGCGGCTTTCTATTTGCGAAGCATGTGTGGCCAAGGTGTCCTCTTCGCAGTCTTTTGCTTCCATGTTTTGCTTCTTTTCTTACGATGTCTGCTCTTTTTGGATGGATTGTGGATGAGTGGCTGCATGCATGTAAATAAGATGGTAAGCTCAGGTGCTGAACTTGGTACTGCGCGCTTCTTCTATTGCAGGCTATTACGCAAGATGGGCTGCAATTCGAGGCCTCATTCTGCAATTTTTATCTGCAGGAAAAGAAGGGGCCAATGAAGAAACTCCAAAAAAGCAGATCTTATCACTGGGAGCTGGATTCGATACAGTCTTCTTTCAGTTAAAGGTTTTTCCGCCCACGATCATTTCCCCAAAAGGAGCTGTTCCATGTATGGCTCCTTATGAGCATGCATCACGAGTGCTGGGGCAGCAGGCACAGAGAGAATCTCTTCAGAGAAGAGTGAAATTAGCTGCTACTTTCGCTCCATCACTACACTGGACCTCCTTTCCCACAAAGGAGCGAGAGGAGAAGCGGTAGTTAGTTGATGCATGAGTACTCTCCTTCCCCATCATGATACTGACTCCATACCCTCATGTGTTCATTGATTGTTGAAGTTCTAGTGGCAAGGTCACTTTGTGATATGATGCCATCTTATAAGTAAGCATTGGTTCCCATTCCTCTGCTTCTGAAGGGCACTGATTGTGGTGATTGGGTTGCCCTAATGTTTGTGGTCTTTGATACGCGGTTTCTGTCTGATCTGGGAGGTAGACCGTAGGGTATTATTGGCAAATTAGCATCATTTAGTGCGCAGTTCAACTGTCTGACCGAGGCATTCGACTGGTAGGCAAAAAGATGGATGAATGGATGGGCACTCGTTCGCTGGCTTGCTTGCTGGGCCACTCACCTGCTCAATTGCTCACTCACTGGCTCACTCATTCTTCCACTCAGCCACTCACTTTCTCACTTGCCCACCTGCTCCCTCACTCACTAGCTCACTCGCTTTCTCACCTGCTTGCTCATTTGGAAACTTGCTGAGGCTCACTCGCACTTGCTCTCTCTGTCACTCTGTCACTCTGTCACTCTGTCACTCTGTCACTCTGTCACTCTGTCACTCTGTCACTCTGTCACTCTTTCACACTCTCACACTGTCACACTCACACTGTCACACTGTCACACTCTCACACTCTCACACTGTCACACTCTCACTCTCTCGCTCTCTCCCTCTCTCCCTCTCTCCCTCTCTCCCTCTCTCCCTCTCCCTCTCTCCCTCTCTCCCTCTCTCGCTCTCTCGCTCTCTCACTCACTCTCTCACTCTCTCACTTTCTCACTCTCTCACTCTCTCACTCTCTCACTCTCTCACTCTCTCACTCTCTCACTTCTGTTTCTCTCTCTCTCTCTCTCACTCTCTCACTCTCTCACTCTCTCTCTCACTC